GGCGGCAGCCCCACAGCACCCGGCCCTGCTCCCAGGAGGGCAAGGCGGCAGGAAGCCACCCAGCGACCCCCTGCTTTTGCCCCCTCACCCCCTTCCTGGAGCAGTGTAGTAGGAACTGCGGGTTTCTTAATGTGGTTTCAAGATGTGTGATGGAAAGCTTATGATAGAGGATGTGTATACGTAACTCTATATAGAGACATATATTTTAATTTTTAAAAAAGGCCCCTTCCCCAGGCTTCGCAAGCCCCTGGGCGGCAGCTGCCCCATCCTGAAGTAGTGCCCGCCAGCCCCTGCCTGCCTGCTTGCCCCTCGGCCCTGGGAGGGCAGCCGTCTCCCCTCGGACATCTGGCGTGCGCAGGGGGCTGGAGCCTCCCCTTGCTGGAGTCCCGTTTGGCTCAGCTCGAGTGTGGCTTGTTGCCCCGACCGGGAGGGATGTGACTCGCGTTGCGTAGCAGAGGGTGCAGCCCGGTGTAATGCGGTGCGGACAGGGCAAGTTACAAGAGTCTGGTACAGAGCTCAGCTACACACCTGCTTTATGGAAATGGGGGACTCCTCCCAGGCTTGCTCCTGTGGCAGCTGGCTAAGGGCAAGAGAAACTCCAAACCCCAACTCACTGGTGACGCGTAGGGGGTACACGTGCACCCCTTGAGCGGAGTGGTGTGCCCCCTGCAAGAAGGCACCACCGACACTGCTGGCAACACCTGCGGGTGGTTGCCGCTCGCCACTGCCCCCTCACCATCAGCAGCGTCTGTGGGCAGTCCATGATCACTGCTGGCCACTGCCAACGCTGCCAGCAGCATCTGCAGGTGGGCGCCAACCACTGGTCGGCACTTGCCACCCCCACCGCCAACAGCACCATGGCTGCCTGTGGGAGCTCACCATTCACCGCTACCACACTCCCACTGCCAACAGTGCCACTGCCTGTGGGAGCTCACCGTGCCCCCCCAGCTTCTGGGGGCACACAGTATTTATGCCCCAACACCTCCGGGCTTGGGTCTCATGTAAGATGCCTGCCAAATGGATTTGGGAGTATCTGAAGCCCCAGGCTGACAAGTCTCAGGTGGAGGATACTTGCTGGTTGTAGTGCCACATACATTGTTTGCTCAGTCAAGAGGATTCAGAACTGATTTGGCTAATTTGACCTAGAATACAAATTTTTTTCTCTGATACCCTTGAGTGACTCGGTGTAGTTAGAGAGTGAAGGCCTGTCCCTTGTACTGTGGGCAGGCTGGCCCCTGTGCCTCCAAATGGGAGGATCTTGGCTACACAATTTATGGTGATGAGGGAAAGCGCAAGAGCAGTCCCCCTAGCTTGCTCCTTCGGCTTCTTGGCTGAGACCAAGCAGGACTAGGGGGCATCCGAACTCCCAGGCCTCTAGGCTTGGGCCTGCACGTAGGATGCCTGCCATAGATGTAGGAGTATCTGAAACCCCAGGATGAAAAGTGGGAGGTAGGATGCTTGCCAGTGGTAGAGCTACTTAGACTTGAATGATTGAGCTCTGCTCAGTTGAAATTTGGAACTTAATTCAGAACTGATTTGGCCTGGAAACAAAATTAAAAAAAATAGTCTGTCTGCAGTGCTGGCCAAACAGCTACCTACCCCCAGGAGTAGGTAGGAACTGCTCTGGGGCTAGGGGGTTTACAAGCAATTTGCTGAGGCAGTTCACAAGGCAGAACACCTGTTCCTGCTGCCCCTCTCCAGACTGCCTGCTTCTGGGGAGCTTGAGCCTCATAAAGGTCTCCAGGGAAGCAAGTCCCGGTTTAGGAAAGCTTATGCTTTGCACTTCTGATTTATTTAATCTACAAGGTGCAAATCTACCCTGCCTTCTGCCTGACTTCAGACTAACAGGGCTAATGCCCTCTCACACTATGCTAGTTCCTATCTATCCCATATGGGCAGGATTTTGTAGGCTTCAGTGGTCACAAACCTGCTCCCAGGCTATGCAAGAGTCAACATGGAGACAAAGAACTGCAGGGATCTCAGGAGTGGAGCTACCCTAGCATCCAAACTCCCTGGGATCAGGGCTGAGGCCTTCTGGCAGGGCAGTCCATGTGGAACGTTTGCCCTGTTACCATTTATGCTCACCAGGTGTTTTTCACCTGCCTTAATCCATACCTAGTCTATTTTAAACCAAAAGCTGTGATCATGTAAATTTCCCCAAAATCAAATGTCTCAATCCATTTGCATAATCTGTTTATGCAACAAGAATCGTGTATCCCTGCTGTTTTGCTATAACCGGTGTCTGGTGGCCTAGGTAGTGTGTGTAGCAGCTGTCCCTCAGAGCTGCATCTGTATCTGTCATGGCTCTGCGCTGCCTGTATGCAAGGTGACTGATAGAAACACAACATGTTCTCATCATTTCTGAGATGCAGTGTCTCACTACAGCTCACTATGTGCAGCAGTGGGGCACTATTACCAATGCCTGACAAGAGCTCCACCTGCCTGAGCAGATGAGATTTCCTTCTTGTGGCCCCTGCTTTGCCCAGCTCCCCTATCCAGTCCAAGCTGCTGAGCAGGGCTGCATTGCATGGGAGTAATACTCAGCTCTGGGTCACCTGTTTCTGCTTCCCTTGTTCTCCACTGGGTTGGATTCACACCCCAGCTTCTGTTTCTTAGGTGACTGCAGAAGGAAGATCATGTTTCCATACTAATGCCCAGAATATAAATGATAAAGAGAAACCAACCCCAAAATATCGAATATGGGAAAAGGAGCTCCACCTGCTCAGGAAGAAGACCTGAAAACTGGAGTTCTTTAAGGATGGGATAATTGCTGGGATATCTTTGGTAGTATGCCTGGACATGGTTTGGTGTAAGGATAGATCAGTGTAATTCTCAAAACCCTCTTCCAGAGGGGAATGGAAGGAAGGGTGCACCCTGACACCTGGGCTTCAGTGGGTGCATCTACATGAGATGCTACTATGCAGTGGTTACTGCTCATTTATTTAGTACTTGTATAATCAAATGCTCAGTAACTGGAGTTACTGCACAATAGCACTGGTGAATGCTTTTTTGGTGATGTTACTGTGCAGCAGCCTAATAATACTGCATAGTAGAATATTAACACTGTTTATCCTATGACGCGCTACTGTGCAATATTATTTGGCTACTGCAGTTAGCGTCTTGTGTGTATGCACCCAGTTGGTCTTACACATACGCAGAATTCCCTTCAGGGAGCAGACGCAGGGTTGCATTCACACCGAATGTCCTATGGGGGCAGGGAAGGTAAAAGGGTCACAGTCACACAACCCACAGCAACTTTGGGCTATGGGTGACAACCCCGCTACCCTTTGCTGGTTAGGGATAGTAGCAGGATCACACAAACACAAAGAGCCTTCTGAAGTAGAGTTGTTAGCACAGTCACAACCCTCAGCTGATAGGGGAGTTGTAACAGGCTCATCTTGGATCATAGGCAGAATGTGTACTGAGTGGGATAAGGGTGGGTAAGGACTGACCCTGGTGGGTTGGTAGTAGTGAGTTTATGCTCAAAGTCATATAGGCCCCTGAGGGAGTGGTGATAGCAGCTGGTCTTATCTAGGTGGAGCACCTTGCTGTGTGGGCATAGATTAACCAGGGGATGGAGCAGGGTCCCACCCACATAGAGCCCCCTGCTTGGGTAGGGTACAGGGTGACACGCACACAGATCCCCCTGGGAGGGTATGGGTGTGACACCCACACAGCCCCTGGCTGGGTGGGGCTAGCAACACAGTGGTACCCATGCAGCTTCCACTAGCTGGGTATGACGGGGGGTCTAACCAATACAGGGCTCCCTCCCGGAATGGTGACAGATTCATGACTACAGAAGCCTACCTTGTTTGGAGATGGGAGCAGTATCACATCTTGATAGAGCCTGGCACTGGGGTGGGCACATTGGCAGGGTCCTGTGCACACAGGGTGAGAGTTTAGGGGCACATTGGCAGGGTCCTGTGCACACAGGGGGAGAGTGTACGAGGGTTAAGTCTATACCAAGACCTGCCTACCAGGCAAGGAAAGTAGCAGAGTCACACCAACACAGTCCTCTGCTGGGTGGGGATGATAGGAGAGACACACTTAGTGGGAACAACTGCTGCACTGGGGATTTAGCAGAGGCACAGTCCCAGCCCTCTACTTGATAGTTCTTCCTTGGGGTGCAGATGGCAAAGCAGTGACAACCATATAAGAACCCCTTGTGGGATGGGCATGGTACCAGGGTCATGCTTATGCAGAGGTCTTGTTGAGCGGGGATGGTAACAGTGTTACACAAACATTGTTCCCTGCTGAGATGGTAGATGATTAACATATATCTGCTAGGTGGCAAGGCTAGCAGGCTCAAAACCCACACAGTTCCCCACTGGGGCAGGGATGTTGGAAGGATACACACGCACAGACCCCCATACTACAGTGGGGATTGTATCAGTGTGACACCTACACACAGCCCCTGCTTAAGATGCAACTAATAGGCTCCCACCCAGAGGCACCTGCTGAGGAAGGTACAGAAGCAATAGCTACGCTGCTCCCTGCTGGGGACAGGATGGTTATATAATGATCACACTCAGGCTACAGTCTGGAGGAGATTCAGCTGTTGCAATATTCATCAATGTAACACCTAATGTTCAGGTGGCCTGCTGCCTGGTGGAATCCGCAGCCCTAAGTGAGATGCTTAGGCTCCCTATGAAATGCAGATGGAAAGTTAGGAAATACCTACAGTAGTTCTGCATCATTCTTCAGACCATCAGAAAAAATAAGCCTCATGCATCCCCTGCTGCTCCACATACTC